CCGCCGGCCGCACCGGCACCGGCACCGGCACCCCCTGCTCCTCCTTCCCGGGCCGCGGAGAGCGCGAGCGCCCGCTAAAAACCGTGTGTACAGAGACAGCCCCAAAGCATGTCTTGGTTTGTTAAAGGACAGTGTTACTCCAATAACACGTAAGTTTTTTTTTTTAATTGCTTTTGAGAAATGCTCCCCTCCCTATTCCCCCTCTCCCCCCCCTTAAGATATTCTTATGCCCCTCGTTTAGAAGGGGGCCAAAACCCAGCGTAGAGTACCAGCCTCCTTTTATTGTGTTCCTTCTTCTTCTCCCCGCTCCCTCTTTTACAAGGACTTGTTTTAAAGTGTAAATTGCGACATAGTAATTTATTTTTAATTTGTAGTTGGATGTTGCGGACCAAATGCCAGAAAGTGTTTCCCCCTCCCCTTCCCTGCAAAGTGACGTTAAAAATGACTGAAACGCTAATTTTTTTCACTTTATATATATATATATAAAGGGAAACTGTATTAATCTTATTCTATCAATATTTTTCCTTTTTTGTTGAAAATATTCTGAAGGTATTGCGTTGTTTGTTTATTAATAAATTACCATTCAGTTGGAATGACCCTTCACCCGTCTGTATATTTTAATACTTTCATTTAAAGAGAAGGAGAGAGAGAGAAAGGGGATTTCATAAGTAACTTTCTCGATGGAACAGCCCATCTCCCTCCGCACAAATTCCAAAGACCATTTAGGAACTGCCAGGTCGAAAAAGCCCTTTTCAGTCACTTCTGCAATATGTTCCACTTAGTCAGCTCGCCTTATCCGCTAGGAAAAAAAAATACTTTCCCATGGCAGCTCTGAGCTGGCAAATAAACAAACACGTTTTCTTAGCAATTAATGGGCAAGACCTGGAAACATTTGACCGTACACAGTAGAATGACAACATTACGGCTTTTAAAATAATTTGCCTGTGCAAGGATGTATTAAATGATATCTCCGAGGTGGAAATACGTGCAGTAGATTCCTGCCCTTGTGTAAATGTATAAATACCGAGTTATCGATCTTTGCGAGTGACTTGCATATGTATTTATATAGATGATTTACATATCTGCATATGAATCTATATTTAAGGAAGGATTACGTATTTATTAATAGCTTCATATACGCACTGCATATGTTTCTGAACTACACAGTGTATATTTAATGGCCCGTATTCTGTAATACGTATATCCTTAAATACAATGTGAGCATATAAATCACTGCGTTGTAGAGTTGATAGCAATGCGTGCACAAATCTCTGTAGCCGCTACGGAAAACGGTTTTAAAGTACAGTCCTATTTTCCCCTACCCCCCTCCAAAAAAGGAGTTGCGTTAAAGGGTGCTTGTCCGCCCTACCCTTGCGCCTTTCTATGTCTGTCTTAGTCCTGTCCTTTACGGGCATTAGTGTTCTGTTGGAAGTGCCCTAACTGATCTGTTCGAAATTATTTTAGATTCGTGTGGGAGAAATTTGTCTATTTTTTATATATATATTTTTGTTCTCTCGCCAGCCCAGCTATTTTTTTTCTCTTCTAAGCCATAAATAAATAACTATTATATATATGTGTGTGTGTGTGTCTATATATGTGTGTGTATAGGCATGTATGTGTATACACACACACACATATATATTATATACTGCCAGGGTAGAGGAGCACTGCACAAACTGACGTCTTGTCAGACCCAGAATCTCACCTTCTGGTCAATTTGCAATTAGAACCCATGGGCAATGCGGATGACCTCCCCCCTTTGCAAATAACCACCCCGAATGCAATAAATTCATTAACTTAAAAGAATCTGCCTTGTCAGTCAGACCTGGGAAGAAGATTATTTGATTACCGATATTTAAGGCCTAAAGTTTGCTTTCAAGATAATACAGTTTCCTATCAGTATCTCTTATCTAAATGCAACACTTAGCAGTAATTGCTGTTGCATTGTTAAGGGTTACACTATAAATAAATGCAAAGGTATTTTCAGTTAAACCCTCTTACATTGCTTTTGAGCTGCTCTTCCTCTCCAAAGCAATAATTTCATATGCAGAAAACACCATATGGAGTTCGAACAAGCTTATAACGTTGCTTTTAAATATTGTTTGTTTAAATAACGCATAGTCTTATTACTATTATTATTATTTATTTTTCCACGCTAGTTTCTCTGTAGAGATTACCATCATTACTTATAATTACCGATTTTGTTAAGTTGGGTCAGAAAAAAAAACCTCAGACGGTCCGTCGTCCGGTTATTTTTAAGCTGAGGCGAAGGAAAAGCAAAGCTGAATGTGTGTCCGCTCTGGGAGTAAATTTTAATCGCAGCTTCCCGTCTGTCACCAGTAAGCGAAATAAAATGTTCCCTATTTCCGGCCGGCCTTACCTTATACTCCCCACTGTCACTTTCCCGGTTTCGAAACGGGAGCAGCCCCCTCGACTCCTCGATTTCGGTGCTCGCCTGGCCCCGCTCTCGGGGGCGCCGCGGCCTTTTCCCCCGCTCCCTTTTTTGCTCTTTCTGGCAGAAAAACAGAGCCCCGTGGGCGCTCTTCCCACCGGCCTCCGAGACGTTGTTTAGCGCCGAAGTATCAGTGTAATACTATTCCCTCCCTCTCTCGCCAGTGTTTATTTATATATATATATATATATACAGGCACACATGTATAGACGTATATGTATATATCGAATGGGGAAGGTAGAGAAGCGATTGCAGGCGCGATTGGCGTGTTACTTTTGGTTTGCTCACAGGCCGCTGTCGCTGCGTTTTCGGGCTCCTCGGCCTCTGCAGCGCTCGGGTGTTCTGCGG